TGATCGCAACTTTGAAAGCGTTTAGAGACCAGGCCGCGGCAATGCTTATCGAGTAGTAACATAGACAACCCCTGAAGCGCGGATCGATCGTTAAGGGTCGGTTTGTCGGCTTGGTCGGCATGCCATACTTGGGCAAGTGTTTCGTTAAGGCGTTGGTACAGGCACAGTTTTCTGCTGTTTTCCTCCCCGGCCTCTCTTTCTTTTTTCGCAAAGCATATCGGATCACGAAATAGCACACTAAGCTGAGTCTTTGCAAAGTTCCCATGCGACCGCGTATGCACGTGACGTAAGCCATTCCTTGACGATTTGCTTACTCTCAATTCTCGTGGATCAGCGCCGCCACGACTGTGGATGCATCATCGGGGTTTTAGTGGCTCCTCCACCCAGACTGACCCAGTAGTTAGCTCTAACGGCTCCGAGAATCGGATGTCAGGCACAGTAGGTATAAAGACGACTCTGATCCTCCACCACTAGAGCGGTGACGCGCACGCAACACTTGCCAGCCACATTTCGCGACGGGAACATCACCGGCACTTAACCCCGAGCTCAACAAGTCACCCGATGCGAGCGGCTAGACAGCCGCTCTCGGCCAGAGAAATGGCCACAACACCGTTATCACAGCTCATCCATCGGCATCGTCCAGACACAAAGCCCCTCGAAGACCTCTACAAGCATCTGCACCAACATCCAGAACTTTCCAACCAGGAGTCCGAAACAGCCGCCACCATTGTCGCAAGACTTGAAGCAATAGCTCCTGCAGACCTGATCATTAAGTCTGGCATTGGCGGTCATGGAATAGCCGCGACCCTACGCAACAGTGACGGCCCTGTCGTGCTGCTTCGTGCCGATATCGACGCTCTCCCTGTAGAGGAGCGAACGGGCCTGGCTTATGCCAGCACCAAGCGAATGGTTCACGCCCCTACTGGAGTGGAGAAGCCGGTGATGCACGCTTGCGGTCACGATATGCACATTGTATGCTTGTTGGGTGCCGCAGAGGCACTTTTCTCATCAAGGAAGCATTGGTCTGGAACTTTGGTGCTGGTCTTCCAACCAGCAGAGGAGCGAGGTACAGGGGCGCAAGCCATGGTGGATGACGGCCTGTATTCCACTCACGGGGTCCCGATCCCCGACATAGTGCTGGGGGGTCACGTCAGGCCCCTGCGAGCCGGCTCAATCGGCACATGCAGGGGCCTTGTCGCTACCAGCGCGGACAGCCTTCGAGTCACGATTCACGGCCAGGGTTCCCACGCAAGCATGCCACATACGTCAGTGGATCCAGTCGTCATTGCGGCCAGCACAATTCTGAAGCTGCAGACACTAGTAAGTCGGGAGACGGACCCAGCGGAAGCCAGTGTCGTCACGGTCGCGACGGTGCATGCTGGTGATGCAGAAAATGTGATCCCAGACACGGCCGTGCTGGGCATAGACACGCGTTCAACAACTGTTGCAGCGCGTGAGCGTATAATGAATCGGATTCAGACTATTATTCACGCCGAATCGTCTTGCGCTGGGGCCCCTAAAGTCCCAGAGTTCGAACAGACACGTTCATTCCCACTAACTATCAATGACGAGGCGGTCACGCAGCAGATCGAGCAGGCCTTTGCTGGCCACTTCGGGGAAGGTCCAGGGCAATTCAATAAGTCAATGCCAAGGCTCAGCTTCAGTGAGGACTTCGCCATCTTGGCCACTTCCGTTGGCAAGCCGTATTGTTTCTTCACATATGGGTGCGTCGACGAAGAGTTGTGGGACAGGGCAGAGCGGGAGGGCAGCATTTCACAGACAGTGGCTGCCAATCACTCGTCAAAATTTGCGCCAGTCATCATGCCAACGCTGAAAGTTGGAATGGACGGATATACACTTGGAGCGCTCTCGTTTTTGGTGAGTGCCACGACCAGAGCGGCCAGCTAAACCTATCTAAGGTGCGCCGATTGCTGTAGCCAGACTCGCATCTCGATGCTCTTCATGAAGTAGCAAGCAATTGGATGCCCGTTGCGATAGATTTACCAAGAGTATAATCGCTCACATCATTGCG